AATGTGATTCCTCAAAATATGTAATAAGCAACATATTTGCAAGACTTTTTTATACAGTTTCGACCATTTCTTATACCATGTTCAAGATATAATCCAATGTCAGCGTTCAATATAATTCAACTTCCATATTAAGAAAAACAAAGAAAGAAGCACGGCAGCTCTAGTATAAGAAACCATTTTCATTTATACAAAATTATGAAGGACAATAGTGTTATTGGAGATATCTGACTCATCAATCAAGCATCTACTTTAAGGCTGATGATAAAACCACTTTTGAATATGGCATAATCATCAATTTTCTCTCCCTTATTGATCTTAGAGATAAATAACAGATAAAAGCGGATGACACTGAAGTTGACAGTAATCAATGCTCAATGCATATTAACAAGTCATCACTTTCGTGAATCCTACGGCTGACTGCATTTGAGAAATAGGGAGTTGGAAGTTGTTACCAGAAAAGACTACTGCTGTAGACAATTAAATTTTATTAAATTTAAATTCATAAAAAATTTGAATTTTATCTCAAGTTAAACATATATTAGTCCAAATAAATATGATGAACTAATATAATTGTTATTTCAATCTAATTAAATTGATTTAAATAAAGGTCCAATATTCTATTGGGCTAGCCCATTATATCAAATAGGTCAGCCCATAAGCCTCAAGCCCAATGATCCACTAGGGTTTTCTTGGAGACTACTCCGCCCCACACCTATATAAAGGGGTCAAAGGAGAAGGCTAAGTCACAAGCAAGTAAGTAGAAGGAAAGGCTAAAGAAGCTCTGAGGAATAGCATCAAGGTCTCCATAAATATCTGCAATCGTCGTCTATGGTCAAATTCCAATGGCGAACTCAAATGGAGGATTTAGAGATATTTTAGAAATTGTAACACCATCACTTGAAATCGAATATAATATTTGTCGCTATATTTCTTGTCTTGATTATTATTTTTCAGGAGCAAAATTTAGTCGTTACAAATTTTGGCACGCCCAGTGGGACCATCTCTACCTCTCATCTTTTCTCAACTCTCAACATTCAAGATCACTAAGATCACTTCAAAGAAGATCAACTCAAAAGTTGTTGACTCCAAGTTTTCTTCTGACGTTGAAAGTATCCTGAACGCTACTATGGGGAGTCTTGGGCCAACCACCCGAAGCAAGGCGAGCGTCTTGGGACAGCAAGCACTCCAAGTGTCGTCTGCACCAATGCATGCTTTGAGATCTTCATCATCCGAAGAAGAAAGGTCCTCTGCTAGCAAGTCACAGGGAGGAGATAATATTGCAGAAGTTGTGGAGAAAGCTCATGCTCAACTTACTTTATACAATACCAAAAGTATGCTTACCCAACCTGATGATGAAGTTTTAAGTGTTGGCTCTACGCCAATCTCGCCACATGACATGTTCCAAAACTAAGTTCAATCCATGGGAAGGTCTCGGTTATTCTTCATCATTTGCAATAACCATGGAGGCAATGATGACGAACACTTCGACAATGGAGGAGCAACTCGCAAACCTAACAAAGGCGATTGATGGCTTAACAAAGTATGCTTATGATCAAGATGTCCATATCGCAAAATTGACAAGCATAGTTTAAAGCATGATTGATGGAGAATCAAGTCATGCACCTGGAAAGCTCCCTAAAGTCTACGAGAAGGCTGATACTCCAACAAAACAAGTTTCATCCGCCAAAGACCTTCATGTCACCTCCTAAGGATCAATTCCCATCGAACAATTGAAGGAATTCATTATGGGAACTATCAAAGATAAGTATGAGGTCGCTTCAAAGTCTTCTATCACATATGCAAAGCCGTCTACTGCAAGAATCGATAGCTTAAAGATGTCTGCCGGCTATCAACCTCCCAAATTTCAGCAGTTCGACGGCAAGGAAAATCCAAAGTAACATGTCGCGCACTTTGTTAGGACATCCAATAATGCAGGGACTCATGGAGATTACCTTGTCAAGCAGTTCGTCCGCTCACTAAAGGGGAATGCTTTGATTGGTACACCGACCTCGAGGCTGGATCTACTGATAGTTGGGACCAATGAGCAAGAGTTTCTCAATCGCTTTTATAGCATGAGGCGTACTATGAGCATGGTGGAACTTACGAACACTCGCCAACGAAAAGATGAACCATATATTGACTTTATCAACTGATGGAGGAATGCAAGCCTTAACTGCAAAGATAGGCAAAACGAAGCTTTTGGCACAGAGATGTGCATCCATGGAATGCAATGGGGACTTCATTACATCTTGTAAGGAATTAAGCCCAGGACATTCGAAGAACTTGCCACCTTGCTCATGATATAGAGTTGAGCATGGCTTCTGCGGGAAATGAAGGGTTGCCCATCTACGAACATCGCAAGGGAAGAGATAAGCAAGAAGTCAAGAAATGGAGTAAGTTCGTACCCAAGAAAGAAAGCAAAGAATCTATGAACGTCAATGCCTCTCCTTTGAAGTTCACTACCAAGGTGAGCAAGAAATAGAGTATGAAAACAACTTCCTCTCAAGATAATGCAAATCGGAAGTTGACTCTCAAGAGATGCAAGAAAAGAAGTACCCATTCCTAGACTCCGATGTGCTTGCAATATTTGAAGAACTCATCGAGCTAAAGATTATTGAGCTGCCAGAGATGAAGCAGCCAGATGAAGATAGAAAAAGCAATGTCCCGAATTACTGCAAATACCATCATTTTGTAGGTCACCCTCTTGAGAAGCGCTTTGTCTTCAAGGATAAAGTTATGGATTTGGCTCGTAAAAAGAAAATCGAGCTCGAAGATGAAAAGGCGAGCACAAACCATGTGTCCTTTGACTTTGGCTCATTCGATCCGATTGAGATATGCACCTGTGAAGGGAATAAAGATGAAGAATTGTTGGAGGATGACAAAGTTCGAGTTGATCAACCTGATGAAGAAGGTTGGACCCTGTGACTCGTCGAAGACGCCGTAAATTGAGTCTGCAAAAAGGATCAATGAAGAAACCTACGAGGAATAAGATGGTGAGAAGACCAAAGAAGTAACAAATGGTTAAGAACCCAAAGAAGGTGGAGATAGAGACACACCATCACAAAAAGCCACGCCACCCGGTAACTTTGGGAGAATTTTTGCCGAGTTGGTTTCGTATGAGGATTTCTGACGATGATGACAAGGCCTTGTGTTGTAATTTTGATAAAGAAGAAGAGAAAAAGAATGAAGTCATATCAACACCGTCTCCATCACTGTCTAATAGTGTTGTTGAGTCCTCCTTCCAAGAAGTAGATGTCTATAATGCAAAAATCACCTTCACTGAAAATGATCTCCTACTTGGTGAGACACCACACAATCGCCCTTTGTTTATGGTGGGTTATGTGCTTGAGTGGAGGATAAACAGAATCTTGATTGATGACGGATCTGCAGTTAACATTCTTCCCATTCGCATAATGAAAGAACTCAGCATCTCAGCTGAAGAACTTTCTGAAAGCCGACTGGTGATTCAAGGATTCAATCAAGGGAGATAAAGGGACATAAGAGCTATCAAACTGGAAATCACCGTGGGAGATATACAATCAACTGCATGGATGCATGTGATTGATGCAAAGACTTCATACAATTTGTTGCTTGGCAGGTCGTGGATACACGAGAACAAAGTTGTCCAATCAACTTATTACCAATGTTTCAAATATAATAAAGATAGAGTCGAAAAGAAGATAGTTGCTGATGACAAGCCGTTTTCTGAAGCCGGGGCATACTTCGCTGATACAAAGTTCTACTTAAAGAACCACATCGTGAAGGGAGTAATAGTTGATGACATCACGAAGGCCAAAGGTGATAATATCGTGACCAAAAGGGCTGAAGTAGCTTCTGGTGAAGATAAAGTTACAATAGAAGCATACCAAGTTTTGAAAGCTCACAAAAAGAGTGTTGCAACTACATGCAAGAAAATAGTTCCTTTATATCGTTACGTCCCAAAAGTGAAGAAAGATGAAGGAGAATCATCAAGCCTCCAAAAAGATGCACTATGAGAATCAACTCTTCTTATCAAGTAGATTGATACCATAAAGTTATCTTCAAAGCTATTGGGAAAGATTATGACCCATAACATGCCTCAAAATAAAACACTCCCCACAAAATAGAGAAATGAAGGAAGGTTTTGATCTGAATGCTTACAGGTTGTTCGCAAAGGCTGGATATAATTGGAATGAACCATCTAAGCTAGGGAAGCTCCCACCTGAACCTACTAGGAAAGCAAACACAATGAAGGATAAGGAGCATGTGGTGAAGCAATCACATGAGGGTCTGGGTTACAAACAACCCCCACCAGTTCGCATCTCCATTAGAAGAGCAAGTAGTAACTATATCACGATGGAAGATGAACCCACTGATCCTAATAAAAGGCCTTCTGTTTGTGATGCTCAATTTTAAATTGTTCACATACCTCCTTCATCAGATGACTATTCAAATTAGCAGCATTATCCATGATAATGATTTTTGGAATATTGAAACGACAGATAATGTTGGAGTGAACAAAGTCTACTACTGCTTTCAATGTAATAGCTTCCACCCATTTGGTGAAGTAATCAATTTCAACCAAGATGAATCTGTACCCATTTGAATCTTTTGGCTCGATTGGGACAATGACCTCCATTCCCCATGAAACAAAAGGCCAAAGAGCCGACATAGGATACAACTCTGAAGGAGGCGAGTGAATAAAATCACTGTGAATCTGACACTGGTGGCACTTGCGAACAAAACGTAAGCAATCTCGTTCCATAGTATGCCAATAATATCCTGCCTGAAGGATTTTCTTTGCTAGAATATATCCATTCATGTGCGGACCACAAACTCCCAAATGCACCTCATTCATAATTATTTCAGCTTCTTTGGCATCCACACATCTCAACAAATTCATCTATTGTATAAGATTCCCACTCAAAAAGAAATCATCAGAGAGTCGCCTAATAGTTCTCTTTTGATCCCTATTAGCATGTTCCGGATATTCTCTTGTTTTCAAAATATTTAATATCTTGTTACCATTTGTCACAATCTGGTTCTGCTTCAATTGTATTGCAATAACCATGTTGATCCCGAATTTTAATTTCTAGTGGGTCAATATGAGTATTACCCAGATATGGAAGCATTGAGGCCAAGGTGGCTAAGGCATCAGCTAATTCATTGTGAAACCTGGGAATGTACCTGAACTCGATGGACTTGAACCTTTTGCTAAGATCTTCCACACATTGTCTATATGCAATGAGCTTGAAGTATCGAGTCTCCCAATCACCTTGAGCCTGCCGAATAAGCGAATCTGAATCTCCCATCACCAACAGTTCATGCACATTTAGGTTTATTGCCATGTTCAAACCCATGATGCAAGCTTCATATTCTGCCATGTTGTTTGTATAGAAGAAACGAAGTTGCGCCGTGGTAGGGTAATGTTTCCCAATAGGTGATACAAGAATTGCCCCAATCCCTACGCCTTTGATGTTGACAACCTCATCAAAGTATTGTTTCTACATTTGACTATCATCTTGGACTACTTCTTCAACTAAATTAACCTCTTCATCTGGGAAGTATGTGTTCAAAGATTCATACTCATCATCAACCGGGTTTTCTGCCAAATGATCAGCCAAAGCTTGTGCCTTCATGGCAGTACGAGTGACATAAACAATATCAAACTCTGTGCGCAAGATTTGCCACTTTGCCAATCTGCCAGTTGGCAGCGCCTTCTGAAAGATGTACTTCAAGGGATCTATTCGGGATATGAGGTAAGTTATATAAGCCAAAAGATAATTCCTATGCTTCTGGGCGACCCAGGTTAACGCGCAACATGTCCTTTGCAAAAGAGTGTATTTGGCCTCATAAATAGTGAACTTTTTGCTCAAATAATAGATTGCTTGTTCCTTTTTGCCTGTGGCATCATGTTGACCAACACAACCAAAGAAACTATCCATTACTGAAAGTTATAAAAACAAAGGCCTACCAGGTTCAGGCGGGACCAAAACAGGGGGATTTGACAAATATTCCTTAATCTTACCAAAAGCTTCTTGGCACTCATCTGTCCACTTGACAGAAGCATTCTTTTTCAACAACTTGAAAATAGGCTCACATGTGGTTGTAAGTTGCGCGATGAACCTGCAGATGTAGTTCAACCTCCCGAGTAAACTTATGACTTCTGTTTTGTTTTTCGGGGGAACTATCGAATGGTCTTTATCTAGGAGGGATCTAACTCAATACCTCTTCGACTAACTATAAAACCCAAGAGCTTCCCAGAAGGAACTCCAAATGCACATTTGGCCGGATTGAGTTTGAGATTATATCTTCGTAGCCTTTCACAGAATCTTTTCTAGTCTTGCACATGATCAGCTTGTGTTCTGGACTTAATGATCACATCATCAACATACACTTCAATCTTTTTGTGCATCATGTCATGGGATATGGTAGTCATGGCTCTCATGTAAGGTGCCCCTGCATTCTTCAAACCGAATGGCATGACCCTATAATAATAAGTTCCCCATGGAGTGGTGAAGGGGGTATTTTTTGCATCTTCTTCATCCATGAAAATTTGGTGATAACTGGCATAACAATCCACAGAAAATTGGATCTCATGTTTAGCACAATTGTCAACAAGAATATGAATGTTGGGTAAGGGAAAATTGTCCTTTGGACTTTCTTTGTTTAAATCCCTATAGTCAACACAAACTCTGATTTTCCCATCCTTCTTTGGAACCAGCACAACATTTACTAACCATGTAGTATATCAGACGACCCTAATCACATTTGCACTTAGTTGCTTCGTCATTTCTTCTTTAATCTTATCACTCATGTCTGTCTTAAACTTCCTTTGTTTTTGTTGAATTGGTGGAAAATTAGGTTATGTGGGAAGCATATGAACCACTAAATCGACACTTAAACCCGGCATGTCATCATACGACCAAGCAAATACATCTCTGTACTCGAACAAAACATGAATTACGACATCTCTCTTCTTTGTTCAGTATGAATGCTTAATTTTGTTTCTCTGGATTCTTCAGGACTTCCCAGGTTAATTGCCTCAGTTTCATTTAAGTTAGGCTTAGGCTTATTCTCAAATTGATCCAATTCTCTTTTTATTTCCTTAAGATCCTCATCTTCATCATACTCAACTTCTTGATTCATTATTTCGAGATTCGACAGCTTTTTAAGATTTGGGCATGAATTCCGCGTGCATGTCATGTTTTTAAAGCCAGCATTAATGAAACTAAAAATGATAAGAAATTAACAAAAAATAGGGAAATGAAAAGACAGAATTTTACTATGAAACTGGAACTTCATTTCATTGAATTTGAAAGGATAGAAGGGCTAACATCAAAGCAAAGCAAATAATCTATAACATCTGGATTACAACCCTTAAAATAATCCAAATACAGAAAAAGCAACAAAGCAGACTACTAAGACTCCTTCCTAATGGGAAGAGGAGTTGCTTCCCAATTATTGAGCGAGGTATCTGGACCAATCAACTGAACACTTGCACGTCTAGGGCCCTCACCAACTTGAACCATATTGATCTCATAGAACATCTCCTTGAGACCCTGGCAAACTTCATCAATGCATCCTGAGTAGGAGGATTTTGGACTTTGATAGGTTTTCAATATCTTTGCCTTGTGTTTTGATGATCTAACAAACATAATGTCAAGAACCAGATAGGGAACCTGACTCACTTAGATCACACTGCATCAAACGGATTCCAGCCAAATGTGAACTTGCTACAGCTTCAGGAGGTAGGAACCCAGACAAGGACCTGATACTCTTGTGGGTTCCTCATGGCAGTACAAAGTCAATTGGACACAGCTGGAAACGAAGATTCTGCCGCATTGCACTGTTCCCAGCGCCCGCATATTCTCTGATCAACTAAAGTACAATGATTTCATACAAAACATCATTCAAGTTACTCAACTCAAGATAATCTGGGCAGTGTGCAAAAGTACCAGATCAGGAACCTGATCCCTTGGTGCTCCCCTGACAAAAGTACAAGTCAATTATACAGCTGGAACACAACTGAAGAGAGTGACTGTCCCCAACTGTACAAAGAGGAACACAACAGGGACCTGGTCCCTTAGGGTTCTTTGAAAGAAGTACAAGTCAACATCTGGAAAGCAATTGCAGAAAATGACTGCCTCCAACAGTGCAGTAGACAGTGCAACAGTCACTTCCCATAGAGATTGGACATCACTAAGGATGTCTTGCGTAGTATAAACCTTATGCAAGGCATAAGATTCAGGTTCAACACTTGCAAATACAAAAACCAAAATTCTCTCAAGTGCTCAAGAACCTCTCTCAAGAACAAAGTTGTTGCAACCTTAAGGACCTGATCCAAGATTGATGATATCTTAAGTCCTTAAGGTTGTTGAGTCTTTGTTATATGTTCTTCATTGTAACTCCTATCCGGCTTTCGTAGAAGCATTGATTAAGAATCCTTTGTAAATCCATAAACTCCCTGAGTTTATGTTGTGGCTAGGTTGAGTCATAAGCAAAAGCCTTTGTAACTGTAGTGTGACAAAGTGGCTTATGGTGGAAACATCACAAGTTAATCAAAGCCTTTGTAACCGTAGTGTGACAAAGTGGCTTGTGGTGGAAATACCACAAGTTAGTTAAATTCTTTGTAACTAGGATAGTTATAGAGTGGCTTGTGATGAAAGCATCACAAGTTAGTTGAAGTCTTTGCAATATGGTTATTGTAAAGTGGCTTGTAATAGGGATATTGCAAGTTAGTGAAGTTAAAAGCCTACAGGTGTAGGTCGTGATTTTTTGATCCTCTTTGTGGGATTTTTCCACGTAAAAATCTTCTGCCTTATTTACATTCAGATTTACTATCATTCACAGCAGAACCCGATAAAAGACCAGGTACTCTACTATTTGGTGGTTTCACACAAACATAGCAGTGTGCCAAACTGATATAGGACCAGATCGCTATACAGTTTGGTTCATCAGTATTTTCAGAGGAAACATATAGAGCACCCGGTTCTACATACATTCTGGTGGACTCACAGTTTCTAACAAGTGGTATCAGAGCAGGTTCATCCTATAAGGCTAACACCTAGGAAGGATCCTCATGGCTGCTCCACCAACTCTTGAAAGGATAAAACCTGAGAAGGAAAAGTACTGGGTACTCAAAGCTGATAACAATGATTCGAGTGAGGAAGATAGTGACATGGCTTACTTAACCGAAAGGTTTCAGAAGATGGTCAGAAGAAATGGAGAAGTGCTAAAAAGGGACAGCTCTAACAGATCAAAGAAAAATGATCTTTGTTACAAGTGTGAAAACTCTGCACACTTCATGAAAAATTATCCTCTCTTGAAGCAAGAATTCTCCAAGAACTTCAAGAGAAAAAGATCAGCTGACAATGTGGTGAAACAGGCTTTTGCTTTTGGTGAGTCTGAAGATAAAACTGATGCTGGTGATAGCTCCATGAAGGCAAGTGAAGGCGAGGAAAATGAATATGACTCAACTTTTGCTTTAATGGCTCAATCCAATGATGATGAAGACGATCACAACAAAGAAGTAAATTTCAGGGATGTTCAGAGAAATCTGAAATCCTATTCTCCAAGAAAACTCATGTCTTTAGCTAATGTATTAATCAATGCCTTTCATAGTCTTGTGGATTATAGGGATTCTTTGATCTTAGAATTAGCAGAATCTGAACAAACTAGAGACGACTTAGTGGCTATAGTTACTGACAATAAGAAAACCATTGAAATTTTCAGAAAAGAAAAAATGATCTTTTGGCAGAAACTACAAACCTAAAGGAAACAATAGTGATACCTTGGACTGAGTTAAAACCTGAAAATTCTGGAAAAGGAAAGGAGATAGCCTGTAAGGAACATATTAGGCTTGAAAATGAGTTGAAAGCTACTAGAACTAGGATATGTGGTGAACTCGAGAAAAATAGGCAGCTTCAAGCTGAATTGAAAAGAGTAAAAAGTGATCTTGAGAAATCTCTCAAGTGGACCTGTTCCTCAGATGCTGTCACTGCCATGTACTTCAACAATAGTGGAAACACGCAGGAAATCGGGTTCCAAAAGGAGAAAACTCCTTACAACCCTCACAGTAAGTACGTCACAGTTCCTGATAACTGGATGTGTAACCACTGTGGGAACAATGGGCACTTCAAAGAAAATTGCCAGGCCAGGGCTCAATGTGTTCAGAAAAACAAAGTGCTTACTGACAAAGTGACTACTAACAGGGGACCAGGTACCGCTCGCAAGAAACCAATGTTGCCTGCATGGACTAGAAAAGCCCTTATCCATCCCTTCTATCATAACAAGGGACCCAAACTAGTTTGGGTTCCTAAATCTAACCCAAAATTTAGATGTGCAGGGAACGATGGGAGGAAGCGGACTGCAATGGATCATGGACAGCAGATGCTCAAAGCACATGACTGGAAATACCATGGATTTTCTCTCACTGAATGCCCTGCAAGGAAGGGATGTACCCTTGGAAAATGGAAAGAAGGGGTACATTCTAGGTATGGGGAAGAAAAAAAGGTAGAAGTTCGGGTCTAAGCTGGTGATATGAGCTACTTGAATGCAATTGATAATGATTCGAAGACATGGCATAAAGGATTGGGGGGATACAAGTTTCTCACTTCTGGATATATTGATGAAGAAAGACCCGGTCCATGGTCTGTCAAATTCAAAGCTCAAAGAACACGGAGCATGCAATTCCTATGGGAATACTGAGCAGGAGTGAAAAGAGGTGCATGATCAGACCTCTCCTGAACAAAAATCCCTATGAGTTGCTCAATGGAAGAAAACCAAAGATAACTCATCTGAGAACCTTTGGATGAAAATGCTATGTTCTCAACAACGGGAAGGACCAGCTTGGGAAGTTTGATGCAAAAGGCGATGAAGGAATCTTTCTTGGATACTCCCCTCAAAGCGAAGCCCACAAAGTCTACAACAAAATGGCACACTATGTGGAAAGAAGTGTTCATGTGCTATTCAATGAGACATCCTCCTCTAATTAGGAGGAACAGTGATGATTAAGATAATGAACAACTTTTGGTAGCTGGGAAATATCTGGAGTTTCAAATGGGAAGGCTGATTTGATGAGTAAGATGAAGGAGACAGGTGAGAGACAATGCAACATCCTCTTCTACTTCTCAAGAGGAACCTAGTACTTCCATTACTACCCCTGAAGGTGAAGAAAGAGTTGGAGATGCAGTGCAAGGCACTCTCCAAGTAACAGAACAAGGAGTGCAGGGAAATCCATTTAACTTACCCAGTTTCTCTACCAATCAAACTTCAGTCCCAAATTGGAAACACAAAAGCTCTCATTCACTTGATAATATAATCACCCCTTTGATTCTAGAGTTCAGACAAGATCAAAAACCAGAAATTCCCTAGCCTTCTCAGCATTTCTATCCCAAATAAAACCCAAAATATCAAGGAAGCCTTGTAGGATGCAGACTGGAGCACTAAAATGCAAGAGGAACTGCATCAATTTGAAAGAAACAAGGTATGGCACCTAGTACCTAGACCCTCAGACAGAACCATCATAGGAACCAGGTGGGTATTCAGGAATGAGCTGGATGAACATGGAAATGCTACAACGAACAAAACAAGGCTTGCTGTCCAAGGATTCAATTAGGAGGAAGGGATCGATTCTGATGAGACTTTTGGCCCAGCAGCTCGCATGGAAGCTATTAGGATCCACATTGCCTTTGCTTCACATAAGGAATTCACCTTATTCCAAATGGATGTGAATAGTGCCTTCCTGAATGGTTTTCTCAAAGAAGAAGTCTATATCAAGCTACCTCCAGGCTTTTGAACGTCATGTACATCCTGAACATGTATTCAAATTGGATAAGGCACTGTACAGATTGAAGTCATGCCCCTAGATCATGGTACGAGAGACTATCCTAGTTCTCGTGGAAAATGGCTTCACAAGAGGAATATTGACAATACATTGTCTTGAAGAACGGGGAAGGAANGAAGCTAAAGGTACAATGTTGAACTTCGGAGGAGAGCTGCAAAAACCATGTTACAAAAACAGGTCAGGAACCTGGTTCCTATACCATAGGTTAGTAGTAATGTGTTTTTCGCATGCTTGTTCAAAGAAAAAGAATAGCAAAATTAATTAAACTGCCACATCATCCGACTTTTCAGACCAGCAGTTCTAAACCATTATCTCCCTTTGCATCACTTTGATTTTTCCTTCAGAACTCTCTACCACTTCTCTCACCATGGCCAACAAATAATCGTCTTTTTCTCTTGCCATCAACATCACTCCCACATCCCTTAACACCATCACCGGAAACCCACTTCTTCACTATCCCTGATACTACTGTACCCATACCAGTTTCCTCCTTATCTCCAGTCACCTCATCTCCACTCTCACTTCCATGTGTTGCAAACCCTACTTCTCCTCTGTTCCTGAATCGNCTTACACACTCTCACAATTTATTCATTTACAACTCAAAATCTCTTTGCTTTTCCTCAAAGAATTTAAGTTCTCTCTTTGTGCGAATACTCTGATTTCTGCACTGTTTAGTCGGCTGGAAGCCAAGGATAAACTCTTTGGATCCAAAATGCCATTACATTCCTGTTTACTTTCTTCCTAACTGGTATGTGTTAACTCTTGTTATCCTATTATGTTCCCTGTGCTTACGTGGTTAGTTTATTTCAAACTTCAGCATGTTTCTGTGTGATCTATGATTCATGTTTACTCCTTTCTCAACTGGCATGTTTCAGTTCCTGTTATCTTATTCTGTCTTATAGTTTATTTCGACCTCAGCGTGTTTTTCTGTTACTGCTTTCTCAACTGGCATGCTTTAGTCTCTGTTACCCTATTCAATCCTATGTGCTTATTATTTTGAGATTTCAGCGTGATTCTATTTGCTATATACCCATATGATTTCACCAAGTGACAAGATTAATTAGGTTTCTCTAGTAATATTAAATCCTGTATAATCTGTTGTATATTTCCTGTTCGGCAAACATGTATATGTTGCCAACTCTGTCTATTAGTTCAAGTATCCTGGCTCTTTTGTGATTGCTTGAATTCTAGTACAGTGTCCATGTCTGAATCAATACCAATCTATTTGAACTATTTACTAAATAGGGATTCTGTTTGTTCTAGGTGAAATTCTGTTTGCAGTCTTGTAATTTGAATTTGTTTGCTCCTAAAAATCAAACTATTTTCTAAAACTACCCCCCTACCCCCCTATGTATTGGTTTTCAAATTTCAACTCTTAGTTATCTAGGTTCCTACAACCTCCAGTGTGAGCACTGCCTAGGGTCCCTGAGACTCCCTATGATGATTTTGTGGCTGTTGTTTTTCTTTTTGTTTGTCTTTTTGTGATGGCATGTTGGATTTCAACATGCTGCTCCTGTTGAAACAGTCAAATTTCTTATCAATAAAACAGCTCTTCTTTTGCTTGTACAATGCTTGTTTTCCCTTTTGCTTCTCTTTTCTATCACGATTGTGTGCAAATATGTGGCATGAGTTAGCTTTGTTGGACTTCTTTATGCCTTTTTGTGTGACTGTGTCTTTTTGTTGATGCCAAAAAGGGGAAGAATAGAGTCAGGGGGAACATATGCAGACATATGTCAGGAGGAAGAATAGAGTTAGGGGGAACATATGTAGTTGCTGGTACCTTATCTGGTTAAGCCACATAGTCATCAATGTTAAAAGTTTGTCATCATCAAAAAGGGGGGAATTGATGGGTTTAAGGTCTTTTAATCTATGTTTTGATGATCTAACAAACTTTCTATATGGAACCAGATAAAAGAGTCAGGGGGAATATATGGGGAAACATGTGTAAGTAAGGGCATAAATTCAGGGGGAACTTGTGGTCTCCTGTTATTCGATCTGGTTCTCTGAACTCTAACTCCTCATTTTCAATGCTAAGTTTGTCATCATCAAAAAGGGGGAAATTGATAGGTTTTCAATATCTTTGCCTTGTGTTTTGATGATCTAACAAACTTAATGTCAAGAACCAGATAGGGAACCTGACTCACTTGGATTACACTGCATCTAACGGATTCCAGCCAAATGTGAACTTGCTACAGCTTCAGGAGGTAGGAACCCAGACAAGGACCTGATACTCTTGTGGGTTCCTCACGGTAGTACAAAGTCAATTGGACACATCTGGAAATGAAGATTCTGCCGCACTGCACTGTTCCCAGCGCCCACTCATTCTCTGATCAACTAAAGTACAATGAGTTTATACAAAACATCATTCAAGTTACTCAACTCAAGACAATCTGGGAAGTGTGCACAAGTACCAGATCAGGAACCTGATCCCTTGGCGCTCTTTTTACAAAAGTACAAGTCAACTATACAGCTGGAACACAATTGAAGAGAGTGATTGTCCGCAACTATACAAAGAGGAACACAACAGGGACCTGGTCCCTTAGGGTTCTCTGACAGAAGTACAAGTCAACTATACAGCTGGAACGCAACTGAGTGACTGTCCGCAACTGTACAAAGAGGAACACAACAGGGACCTGGTCCTTTAGGGTTCTCTGACAGAAGTACAAGTCAACTACAGCTGGAAAGCAATTGCAGAAAGTGACTGCCTGCAACAGTTCAGCAGACAGTGCAGTAGTCACTTCCTATTGAGATTGGACATCACTAAGGATGTCTTGTGTAGTATAAACCTTATGCAAGGCATAAGATTCAGGTTCAACACTTGCAAATACAAAAACGAAAATTCTCTCAAGTGCTCAAGAACCTCTCTCAAGAACAAAGTTGTTGCAACCTCAAGGACCTGATCCAAGATTGATGATATCTTAAGTCCTTAGGGTTGTTGAGTCTTTGTTATGTGTTCTTCATTGTAACTCCTATCCGGCTTTCTTAGAAGCTTCGACTAGGAATCCTTTGTAAATTCGTAAACTCCCCGAGTTTATGTTGTGGCTAGGTTGAGTCATAAGCAAAAGCCTTTGTAACCGTAGTGTGACAAAGTGGCTTGTGGTGGAAACATCACAAGTTAGCCATAGCCTTTGTAAGCGTAGTGTGACAAAGTGGCTTGTGGTGGAAATACCACAAGTTAGTCAAATTCTTTGTAACCAGGATAGTTATAGAGCGGCTTGTGATGAGAGCATCACAAGTTAGTTGAAGTCTTTGCAATAGGGTTATTGTAAAGTGGCTTGTAATAGGGAGATTGCAAGTTAGTGAAGTTAAAAGCCTACAGGTGTAGGTCGTGATTTTTTGATCCCCTTGTGTGGAATTTTTCCACGTAAAAAACCTCTGCCTTATTTACATTCAGCTTTACTAGCATTCAAAGCAGAACCCGATAAAGGACCAGGTACTCTACTATTTGGTGGTTTCACACAAACTTAGCAGTGTACCAAATTGATATAGGACCAGATCGCTATACAGTTTGGTTCATCAGTATTTTCAGAGGAAACATATAGAGAACCCGGTTCTCTATACAGTCTGGTGGACTCACAGTTTCTAACAATATCAGACTCATCGCAAACATGTCAAAATAGCAAGTTCATCAGGCCTAGGTCGCACTGACTTTCACTTGCTACGAACATCAATGCATAAAATGTAAACTCAGTAAAATATATATTGGACTAACCGTAAATGTGTCTCCGATGTTGATGACAAGTGCATCAGGCCTAGGTCGCACCGACTTGCACTTGCTATCCACAAAAACCTCCAAGCCTCCAACTTGATCTTGACGAAGTATTGTCAAAGAGTTGGGAACAGAGTGAGGTGCAGGTCCAAGGGCTATATCAGGGTCTTGACAAGTTGGATAATAATTACATCTCATTATGGAACTTGTATCTCTGAAAAACTCTTTGTAGTACGATTTTTCTACCCCTAGCTAGGCTCATTCCTAATATCTCCATTATTACAAGTCCTACCCTCTTCATTGCCTCGCAGTATCTCTCAAACACCAATCTGTAAAAATAATATATAGTATCTTTAACTTTATTGGATTTAAGCTGAAAATTTAATTAAAAATCAGTTCATCTACAGGAAAAGTACAAGTAAAACCATTCATAATGGGCTCAATAACCTAAAAGAATAAGGCAACAGTAAAATACTTGAAATTACTTTCTGCGGTATTATGTGATATTTTGTCCTTTCTATTTTGATCCAAAATAAGTGTCCTGTTTACATAATCAAGAATATTAACTATAGTTTTTCAAATTTGCCCCTATTTACATATCTTAATGTGTCAAGTTAACAATATATAAAATTTAATTAAGGGTAATTTAGTCAAAATACTTATTTATTTTCTAGGAGTTTGTATTTTATTAAGGGGTGTGCCAAAGACAAAAAAGTCACTTATTGTGGATTGGAGGGAGTATAAAAATTCCTTTCACTGACAATTTTTATAAATTAAGTCGATGAGTTTTTGCTTCTTCAATTTATCATACCAATCAGAAGGTTTTTTCTAATCTTTGTCAATTATATCTTTAATGACATAAATTATAATTATTTGATATATTATCAAGTATACATACTGTATATGCATCACCAAAGACATAAGAGAAAACATACCCCATTTCTTCAAATTCTTTTCCATAGGCAGATTCAAAGAAATCAACAACGATACTTTTCAACCCAAAAAAAAAAAAAAAAACAACGATACTACTCTGATTATTGTTTTCGTGAAAATTGAAGGACAAAGTTTCCTTCCAAGGCAACTTTGAACAAAATCTCTCTGCATGGGCACTTGAATAACCCCACAAACTTCCACGTTCTTTCCGAGCCTTTAATTTTACTCCTAATGGAAGCTTAAAGAAAGCATTGACATGAGAATGAGCCATATTAATTAGTTGAGAATCAACTCCATGGTTTATAACTTGAAAAAATCCATGGTTCAAGCAAGCTGCTTTAACGAGCATGGCCACATGTTGTGTTGCCACTGAATTATTACCTATAAAGAAACCCCCTAAATCTATTACTGCCTCAGTTAGCTCTTCTTCTGCTTGTATTTGGTCTTCCTTTGGGTAAATGAATTCTTTAGGTATGTTTGTTTGTTGCTGAAAGGTGTTCACTGAGAAATGCATAAGAAGAAACACCCCACTGCTAGCTGCTATAAACTTGTGGTCCAAATATATATATATAGGAAGTTGTGGAGGTCGAGTATTAGGGTTGTAGGTTAGGAGGTAGTTGAGTCTTCTCTTACTTCGTACCTTTGTGAGGCTAGTCTGGTAGGGTTTTTAATTTGTTGATGTCAGCTAGTGCCAATGTTGTGTCTTACTACTCTTTTGTTTTCCATGATGCCGGGTCTATGTACTGTCTATCGCTTTTGCTTTGCATGTACTTTCATTTTCATGATGTTATTTTTTCTATGGTATCTATTGGTGGTACTAACATTGTCTCTTTTCGTCTTCTTGAGCTGAGGGTCTTTCGGAAACAGCCTCTCTACTCCATCGGGGTAGGGGTAAGGTCTGCGTACACACTACCCTTCCCAGAACCCACTAATGAGATTTTACTGGATCATTGTTGTTCTTGTTGTTATATATATATATATATATATATATATATATATATATATATATATATATATATATATATATATATATATATAT